TGGGCGAAGTAAACGGTATGTAGCAGTTTGTACAAATTAAATTTAATTAGTAACTCATTAACAATTTAATTAGTACCTGAACTCGAATTCCCATTCATTGAATGTTATGGGTGTAAACGTGAGTTCAAATATGAATGGGACGGTTTAGTCGGAATTTGTCCAGCATGCACTGATGAAGGAATTGAATATAAAGTATACGGTACACAAATACAAGTCCGCAGATATCGTATGAAAAAAGGATTGTCTCATACGTGCCCTCGTTGTGAACTTTTTGTTTTTGACACTACTAACGCCTCCGATCCTTGCATACACTGCTTATATACATTTTTAAAAACTGATTGGGCAAGATGGACTAGTGGTTATCCAAAGATTGATGAATGGATTCGCAACCGACAAATACGATCTTCGAGCATTATAAGCGGAAATTCATTTGAATTTATTCAGTTTTCAAAATTTAAAGATGTAAGATCTGTTGCTGAAGGTGGTTTTTCTTCGGTGAGCAAGGCTATTTGGATGGGCGGTGGGTATAAGGAATGGAATTTCGAAAACGGTTCATGGAATGTTGGAGGTGAGAAAGCTGTGGCATTAAAAAAAATTTTTACACAAAATGCAGAAATTGTGCTTAAAGAAGTATGTTTTGTTTCCTATGATATGAAAATATTAAACCATCTCATGATTAATTCAAAGGGTCCGTTACATTTTTCTAGCTTTATGCACATTTCATTCTATCTAGTGAATTTGTTTGTCAACTTTATGGAATTTCATTAATAACATCAACAAGAGAATTGGTTATTGTGATGGAATTATGTACACAGGGAAACTTACAACAATTCATGCTATATAACTTCAAAAACTTAATCTGGAGAGAGAAATTAAACATACTCCATTACGCAGCTAAAGCAATAGATTATTTACATAGCAGGGGATTCTTACATTGTGATTTACACCCGACTAATTTTGTAATGCAGAATAATTTGCCGAAGTTGATTGACTTTCAGATGTGCACAGATTCGTATAGTAATTTACGTTCTGGGATGGTTTTCGGTGTACTTCCTTATATTGCGCCAGAAATTTTATTAGGCGAAAACTATACACAAGCATCTGATATATATAGCCTTGGTATTATTATGACAGAATTGTCAACAGGAAAAAGACCTTTTTATGGTTATCCGTTTGACTCTGTACTTGCATTGAACATTTGTAAAGGATTACGACCCGAATTTTCTGAAAGAACGCCAGAATGTTATGTTGAATTATCTAAGAAATGTATGGATTCCAAGCCATCTAATCGACCTCGCGCTAAAGAAATTTGCTCAATTCTTTCTGAATGGTGCTTGATTGTGATGAATCCTGATGAAGAATCTGATATTAAAAGGAGTTTTGCTTATGCAGATAACGAAATCAAAGAAATGCATATTACCGTATCGAATTCCCAAACTTCAATGTATACTAGCAGATTAATAAACACTAAAGAAATTATACTCGCGTATGAATCAGCCGAATTTGGAGGTAATTCTATAATTTGTGAAATATAATAGTTGTACGGCCATGTTGTTACAACCATACCAATTTTTGATCATATTTCTGTAGATTTTTCACTCTTGATTTGTGCTTTAAACTAATAGCTAACATAATCATTTAAAATAAACAAGCAAGCTTCTGTTTATAAGATTTTAGGCCTACAAAGTTGATTAGCTGGTCAACGTCATTCCCTGAAATTAAACAAGTCAGTCACAACGTAGTAAAAATTTCATTAATCATGTTATCATATTTGACCAATCAAATTTAATCAAATATTCTTGGGAATATTTGTGGTTGTTTTTCCCCCTCGAGTCTGAATCCAAAATATTGACGCTAACCAGCTAATTAACTTCGAGCGATCTTAGCGCCATGTTATTTAATATGATCAAATACTTATGATAGTAACAACATTATTCATATAACAGTACGAATATGCATCAGTAATTGAATCAATATTCTTTTAGATGTATTCTGGCCGTTATTGCATCTGACAGATATCGATTCTGTTATTGATCTAGTTATTCATTTATTTATTCATTTTAAATAATTCTTATATTCATATAATAGATTCAAAATTATACGATTTTAATGTTTTAGATGCCAATTAAAGTAATTGCATTGCTCTGAGAATCATGCATCAGAAACTTTCTTATAATTATAATATAAATTTATGACAAGAAATACCAGAAAAGAAATGATATTGAAAATTTTACGAAGTGTATACCAGGGACGAATGTAATGAGTACATGTTTAATACCGTGTTTGAAGCGATATCCATCCGCAAAATCTTAAGTTTGATTGGTCCGCATGACTTATTCGTCAAATTTGTTTATTTTTCACACAGTGTTCATTACGCTATTATTTTTCACTTGTAAATTCGTCACGTTTTCTCCATATAATAATATGGTATAGATCAACAAATATAAGTAGTTATACGGAATTCTATTTTATAATACAAAGGACTGCAAACATATGCATTATCAAATTTACAATAACTAACAATATCAAAATTAACAATTTTATACGCAAAAATTGGTGACCCGATGCAAATTATTTTGTCTATTTGCCTGATATTTGACAATTTTTATTGGGTTGATTAAATGATAATCACTGATCGTCAAAGACGATAGCGAAATAAATTTTCGGATAATTTGATAACCTGATAATTAATTATTTGAGTGCGTGAGAGTATAAATCTGCAGTTACATATAATGTTTTACTATGATAAGTTTTAGGTTTTCACTCTCACACACTCATATGATGCCTTGTAAATTTTTGTTTAATTTGCTAATGCGAGTCAATAAAGTTTTGTACCTTGCTTAATAACAAAAAGACCAAGTCTATTTTTACATTAAGTTCCCAAATATCAATAGATTGTAATTATTTTATCAAGTTGTTATGGCTGTGTTAGCCATAAAAACGTAGAATGTAAAAAATCTCATAATTTTTTTGTAAATCTAAATACATAATTAATTTATAAGAAATTTACTAAAGTTAACAAACTACAATTTCCAATACTACAATTTTTGTAGTTCGACTCATTAGTCTGTATACCATTCGTCAACTAGCAAATTTAGCCCTATCGCTATATGTTAATGAAGTCATGCTAGGGTTATAACCAGATTTGTGGCTTATAACTCAGAGGCTTATGTGAAAATATAATAGATATGCATGCAATAAGAGATCATAGATATGCATGTGATAGAGATTATAGATATGTATGCGACTAAATTTATCTAGTGACAATTTTTTTAATAGCTTTTTCGAAGATGATATAGTTGATCTAAATGAAACAGAATTAGAGGAATTAGATCTAGAAGAAGAGGTTTTAACAGATAATAGCCAAGAGTTAAGCGATTCTGATTATGATGATGATCTTGAAGGTACTTGAATCAATCTTTTTGTTTTATTTATTATATTTGAATTGGCTTTTTTTTTTGTTTTATCCAATATTCTTTGAATTAATTTTTGTCTTTTATTCATCGCTATCTTACTTTTATTTTTTTTAAAGAAATAAGCATCCTGCTTCAACCATTAAATTAAATTTTCTTTGGATACTATTATGAATATTCAAGATTTCATCTCCCGGTTGCTGCGATTAGATCCCTTATTAAGTTTTTCTGGATGGTCTTACAAGATGCTGACCAGTCAAGATTCAAAACTTTCCTACCAGCTTGGATATGGTGAGAAAATTGTTGGAAATTAACATGCATGCAAAAGAATATGGTATATGTCCTAGTTGTGATATCTTATATAAGGCTTTAGTAATATAAATCAAAAATTGATTAATTGTTTAGTTGGCTGGGTTGAGATTAATAATTTTGACCCAACTATTAATTGATTAACTAACTAATCGATTAATCGATTAATTTGACTAGTTACATTTGCATTAATGGGCTTTTTAAAAAAATTTTAATTAGATTTATATTCATAAATTTGGTCAACTAAACAACTAATCAGTTAATCGATTAATCAACTAATCGATTAATTGATTAGTTAGGCAGTTTGAAGTTACAATTTTATTTAACATTCTCATCCCACTGCCTCCAACAGCCTTTACTGAAATTAAACAAGCCAATTAGAATGACCACTACATCTTTGAGATTTCAATAAATCATGTAACTACGAACCAACCAATAATAATGATGATTTATTGAGATGTTATATAATGTTTGTTTAATTTGACCCCCTCCTCCTACTACACTTAAGCTTTGAAAAGAATATTAAATGAAATTATAACTTCAAATAGCCTTAGCAATAATCAATTTGTAATCAATTTTTAAAAATTTTTAAATAACTAATTGAATACATTTTTTGCTTTGATTCATAACATTATAAAGGTTACCCATGTGGAGTTTTCTAATCATCCAATGCATAGCCAAAAACAGCCATGTGGTGCTAAATTAACTAAACAAGTTCTGGCTATAGGTGGTTATATCAGAAGTCCAAAGAAGATTTTTCTTTATTATCTTTGAAATTACAGTTAGCTGTCATGTATTAATATCCAGGATTTGAGTCTTTTCAAAAAAATAGACCAACCAAAATATTAATACTGGGTTAATATTCAATATTTATAATGGTGAAATTTGGAAGGATTTTCCATCACAACTTGGCATACCAAATTCTCAGTTCTTTATACAAAAACCAGCAAATTCACATTTAGGACTCATTATCAATCTTAACTGGTTCCAGCCATTTGAGACAATGGTATATAGTAGTGTAATATATAGTGTAATATGTAATTTTTCCCAAGAAGAGAGATTTAAACAGGAAAATATATTATGTCTTGGACTTTTACTGGGACTTACAGAAGTCAAGTTACATAAAATAAACAATTATTTTGCACCAATAGTTGATAAATTGTTAGAATCCTGGGAAGAGGTTAAACTATCTACTGGAAAAAAAATAAGATTTGCTATTATTTGCTGCTTCTATAATATTTCAGCTGCCAGGAAGCTTTGTAGCTATATATTAGCATTAGTTAATTGCTATTAGTACTACAAAAGGTATTAAATAATTATAAAATTTGATACAATTTATATGTGATACCAAAAAAATCAAACCTTGGGCTTTTATGTTTAAAGCTTACTAGTAGAGCTTTTATTTATATTTGCTATTTGAATAATATTTGCATTTGGTGAATATTCAAATAAATATTTATCTGTTGAATAATTTGAATATATTTTATTTGAATAAGCAAATTTTATTCATTATTCATAATGTGGGCTTCAGTTATTGGCAGATTTAGACATAGTAATGATATTGATTAGCTGCTTTGTATCTAATTATATATATTATTTGAATAAATAATACTTATTTGGCTGAGATGTAGTGACTTAGTGTAGTGGTCTAGTCATCACCCTCTCCAAGTGGCAGGTTTAGAGTTCAAATTCCATGGATGACGATATTTGAAAAATAGCTTGTGTTATGGTTAACAGTTATTAATTATTAATTGGATTTAGAATTAAATCTGTAATCTTAGTTATACCATCTAGTTATGGAAGCTTTGGTGCAATAAATCCAAGGAACTGAAATAACTGAAAACCCATTTGGCAAGTTCCTAACTTGGAGTAGCAATGATCTTTGATGGTACTACATAAAGGCTGAATTTGAACCAGGGCTTGAGATTGAAGAACCAAGTTATCAGGTCCTTAAGTGGGAGACACACTAGCTGAACCGCCAGGCCAACGCGCCAGAGGAAAAGAATATACACTCTGAAAGTATGGACCAAGGGGAGGGCAATGTGGGGTATCTAAAGCCTGAGCAGACCGACCCTTTCGAGTTGCCATCTGGAAGCAAGGGAGGGACCAATAAAGAATCTGAGTAAGAAGACAGTCCAAATGTGGGTACCAGAATTGTTGTGAACCAAATAAAGGCAAGGAGTATATAATGGGTGCCTGTTAGGAAGGTTGGTGCTTGAGAAATATCTATAGAATGGCAACACTCCAAAAGATGGCATGAGATATGCATACAGAATGGCAGATCAATAGGTACAATTTTAATAATTGTATTAATATCATTAAGATGATCTTAACTCTATTAAAAAAAAATAGCTAGTTTCTGTAAAGTATTAGGTAAATTTTCATTAAATAATATATTATTTATTTATTAAAATTTATAATTAAAAATTTTATTAGTTTAATATGCTTATTACTATACAGTGCTGCATATAGTATTCTGGGTATTTTATAAAAAAGCTGGCCTAGATATAATACCCTCAAGTATTAAAAGATTGAAGAATAATACAAGTTTGCCATTAGACATATCAAACCCAATAAAAAGATTGCTACAAATCACTTATCAAAAAAAAGGAGAATACTATTCTAAAGGCACTATATATGTGCTATACAGTACTATACTTTAGTAGTAATAGCAAAAATCATATATTTAAATCAATTTTATTTGGATAAATTTTTTATAAATTATTACTATTACAATTTAAAAAATATATTTATATCTTGTAAATACATTACATAATAAAAGATTTAAGTCAGCTTTAAATTGTTTAAATAAAAAAAATCAGTGATTTATAATATTGCAATTTAATTCATATGCTATTCTAATTTTAATTTATATTTTTAATTATATATGTTGATATTCA